CGCGTCACGGGCTGCGGTGCGGTGCGGTGCGGGCCGGGCTGGGGACGGCCCCTGCTAGTCCTCCCGGAGGGGCCGCGCCGGCCCCGCAGCTGAGGGGGAGCTTTGGTGCTCAGCTGGAGCTGCCCCCCACTCCTTACCTGGGCCGAAGCAAAGGGCTTCACGGGGTGAAGTCTGTGCCCTCGTCCTGGCTGCTGAGGGAGTGCCTAGCTGCACCTGTGCCCCATTGCTTGGGGCCTGAGCACGGGCTGGTGTTTGTACCCGAAAGCTTGCAAAGAATTTTTTCCAACTATTTTAGTTACTCTAATAAAGAACACGGGATTTAGACCAAGACCTATGTCTGCTGCCGCTTGGGGAGCCCTTAATTCTCTCCTTTCTTTGACTGCTGGGAGACCCCAGGCTGCTCTTCCCCTGTCCCCTGGGTAACTCAGCCTCTGCCTTCACAGCTCTTTGCCCCCCTCCCCAACAGGAACAGTGAAAGGGACTGACACTTAATTTTGCTACTGTCCTTTGAGCCTCCCCCCACTTGGAAGATTGCACTTGTGTGTCCCAAATAGTTCCATTGCAGTTTATGGTCATTCAAAACCTGATTGTTTTCTTGCAGCTGTGCAGGTGACTTTTTAATGAAACCTTAAACATTGCTGAGATTGAGGGCTTTTATTTCTGTATTTGTTAGGGGAGTTTTCTACTTGGTAGGAGTGGATAGGTGAATGACTTTCTCAAGGGTAACAAATGTTACTTATTTTAATAAGGAAATCATAATTTTTCCTGACCAGCATATCTCTATTCCAGTCCTTGCAAAAAGTGGGACCTATGCTTTAGTGAAAGTGCTATGCTGGAAAGTGGAGTTTCCACTTCTTTCACTTTGCTTTCTTCTCATACATACTTTTTTATAATGGATAAACACAGATTTTTGGGGAAAGCAGGGTTTCTCGCTAGGTGATGCATGTCATCAGGGCTGTTGTACACTGGATAGAAGAAAGACCATTTCATTGGTTTTCTTCAGTAACTTCCATGGAGAATCTGAAATGACACAGCCCCTTGGACCTCTACAAGTCCAATGGGGAGAGGGTAGTCGGGCAGAATGTTTGCTATGTGATTTTACTTGTATTTACTACTATGAATAGAGGTCTTAAAAATACCAAGATAAGCAGTGCATCTAAAAACATTTTCCCCTTTAGTTGAGTAGCAGACTCCTGAAATACTTCTAGGAAATGTATGTGGTATGTAACCTGTTGCTAACATCATCCTCTGTACCAGAGGTACAGAGAAGGGCAACAAGGATGATCAAGGGTGTGGAGAAGCTTTCACATTACAAGGAGACACTAAACAGGCTACTACTTTTTATGTTAGACAAAAGATGACTCAGGGGAGTAATTATATAATTTAGTGTGTGTTGTTGAGAAAATTAACAGGGATTTTCTGTCTCTTCCAGTACTCAAACTAGGAGACACACAATGACACTGAGG